GGTCGCGGCCGCGTCAGAGGCAGGGCGGGGCCGCGTCGGACGAACCTGTGGTTTTTGGTGGGGTGAGGTGGGGTGGGGTGGGGTGCAGTGGGGTGGGGTGCGGTGGGGTGGGGTGGGAAGGAAGGGAAGCACTTGAGGCTTGTTACGGGCCATTATGAATAGGAGGGCAATCACCTGGTAAAATGCATATTTTCTGGCGAGGTGGGTTGGGGGGATGGGGAGGGGAATGGACTTGGGAATGTGATAGTTCGTTAGAACCAGCCATGGCTGGACACTGTATCAAGGCGAGGAACCTGAGGGTTGTGTTCTGGTGCTGAAGGGTGGGGGTTGCGGAGGGGAGGGAGAGTACTTGAGGCACGTGGCGGCGAGGTTGACGTTGTAACGAGGCGGCTTCTGACTGAGAGGATCTTCGGCTCGCGGTGGGGAGGGGTTGGGAGGAGAGACACCTCAACAGAATGTGGTACTGAGGCTTCTAACTTTAGACATTTCTCAGGCACTTCAATGAGTCAATTATTAGGCACCACAAAAGACAGAGCGGGGCACAAACCTTTCTAACCACCTCTTTCTTGGTATTCTCTCTGATGACGAAAAAAGCTGTTCGTCGATGTACTGCTTTCTTGTTATTTTCGGCGATGGCGAATTTCGCCAACTCCAGCGCGTTCGCATCCGTCGCCGCGCCTCTCACGGCGGTCGCTTTTGAGAATTCTAAAAAGCGGATGATGACGAGAGAAGAAGTTCGTTGACGTACCGCTTTCTTGTTTTGCTCGCCGATGGCGAATTTCGCCAACTCCAGCGCGTCGCTATCCCGTCGCCGCGTTCTCCACGGCGGTCCAGCATCCCAAAAATTCAACCGCTGAAATCGGTTTGAAATTGCGGGATACCTTGGGGTATCGCTCCCTACGTTACCCCATAGTTGCCTTGAAGATGCCAACAGGAAACATTTGGGGAACAACGACGCGAGCGAAATTCGTCACCAAATCGTTTACAATCAAGAATAGGTTCTCGACGAATCAGGATGCAGCGAAATTTGACGTCACCTCAAGGAAACCCCTCGTGCTTCGGAACGAGGCTGGTCAGCTGGTTTGCTTGCACTGTTTCTGATAGAAGGAGAACGAGGATGGAGTTAGATGCTAGGTTTAACTAGGGCCTAGGCTTAGGAGCCTAGGCCCAAGGAGGATGTCGAGTGAGTTGTGCCAAGGGAAAGGTGTCGAGAAAGTTGGGAAGAATTGGTTGCACTATAGGTTTCAAGGAACATATAGCATAGGAAACAAAGAAGGTGCACCACCAAACTAAGCTTATAATAACTACACTAACTACAGCTACAGGCAGTTACAAATATAAGTTCTGACACTCCCCCATAACTGCCTGCAGGAGGAGTTTGTGCAGAATACAACCTGCAGGTGTACACATGCAAAATAATAAACAAGCAACAGCAGGAACTGCAGGCGGGCTGACACTAGCTGGTCACCCACTCCATCTCCTCACCCTCCTCCTTCCCCTCCCCCACACTGCTGCAGGAGCAGCAGAGAGGGGGGGGAAGAGAGGAGAGGTGGAGGGACGGCTGCTGGTTGCCTCACACCCGCCACCCCGGTGCCACTCCCCCTTCTCCCCCACACCCTCACACCCTCCCCCCTAGCGGCAGCTGCAGCAGTGGGAACGAAAGGAGGAGGAGGGGAAGGGAAGGAAACGACCCAAAGCTCCAACACCCACCACCCCCATACCCTCCTCCCCACGGCTGCAGGGAAACAAAGGAGGAGGGGGTGGGCGGGAAGAAAGCCGCAGAGCGGCTACATTGTGTCGGCGCAGGTAGGTCAGGGGCGGCTGCAGGGAGAGCAGGTGCGGAGAGGGCCCGTCGCGTGCCACGGGGCGCACGACGGGCAAGTTTAAGTTTAGGGCCCGGTCGTGTGCCTCGGGGCGCACGACGAGCAGGGCACCGTCGCGTGCCACGGGGCGCACGACGGGCAGGTTTAGGGCACCGTCGCGTGCCACGGGGCGCGCGACGGGCAGAGAAGGAGTCACTCGCCAACCGGGGGCGGGACAAGAGAAAATCGCCACGCGCCCTAGGCGCGCGACCGAGAAAAATAGCAGCGGAAGCATATTGGCGGGCCCACAGGCCAGGACGTAAAACGCTCTGATAGCATGATAGAAGGAGAACGAGGATGGAGTTAGATGCTAGGTTTAACTAGGGCCTAGGCTTAGGAGCCTAGGCCCAAGGAGGATGTCGAGTGAGTTGTGCCAAGGGAAAGGTGTCGAGAAAGTTGGGAAGAATTGGTTGCACTATAGGTTTCAAGGAACATATAGCATAGGAAACAAAGAAGGTGCACCACCAAACTAAGCTTATAATAACTACACTAACTACAGCTACAGGCAGTTACAAATATAAGTTCTGACAGTTTCAACAACCGAAGCTGAAACCCAAGCAAGTTCAGGTAAGTCAGTTATAACAACGGCAATGCTCATTATACAGCCACTTATAACGAGCCTCCCCATATCAAGGTATAATGTGATGGGTTTCGCAGGGAGGCAGGCAGAATATTGCAGACCAATCACAGCTCTCCTTGTCACTACAGCAAGAGAGTTCAATCGCCAAGTACTTTACCGCCCTTCTTTGAGCGTGCTCTCATTCTTCTTTGTCCATCAAGCTATCTCTCCCACTCCATTTCTCCCGCGCTATGTCTCCTTAGCTCCGCGATAGTCGCCACATGCCGCATTACTTCCATAAAGAGATTAGGTTCCTTATGTTTTCGCTGTTTCACCAGCTACGTCTTGGAATTTTCCGTGTTGCCGAGATTTAATGACGTGTTTATTTGATTATTGCGTCTACATGGCAGATTACGAGTGGTTGGATCGATGCATGAATCTCGCCAACATCACGACTACTCTTCTCTTAATAGTTATCGTGAGGTGGGCTATTATACTTAATTTTCCAGGGAATGCTGTCCGAGGTTTCAATGTTCAGCGCCGTTAATCCAGTGTGGCTTCTTGTCATCGTTCTGATTGTCATAGGCGCTGTACTATTTGTCAGCCACCCGGCTGGTACTGGCTTTCTCCTCATCATGATATTTCTTTCATTGCATTTTTTTGCCATTGCACCATGCTTGTGCAGACTCAACCCTTTTTCCTCGTGGGAAGATAGTCGTCGTTAAGGGACAGATGTGGTGTGGCGACATGGTAATGTTTCCCTGTTCGTGTGGTTTCTTGATGTGGTCTTATCACTTGCTGGCATTTCTCTGCTTGTTTAATTCGTGACCTTGTTGTGACAGGCAATCTTTTTTTACCATATTTTGAAGTTGTATTATACCTTGGAGAAATGTGGGTTTGTTGCAGTGCTATTTGTAGTTGCGTGCCTTCAATGGCATTCGTTACCATCTGGTGTTGCTCAGAGTATGCATTTTTTTATGATCCCTGTAATGCTCATTTTTATGTGCAACGAACTGTACTATAAACAGCTTAAACATCGATGTGTTAAAATGCTTATACGGACGCCTGTGGAATTATGTCGAAACGGATGGTTCTTTTATTGTTTAACGAATAAAAAATGTCACGATCAAAGTGTACTACCAGAGTGTACTATTTAATTTATTGTACGCGGCGCGCACGAAGGTAGCGTGTGATTCGCTCCTCAAACCTGGGAGCGGAAACCTTGCGGCGACTTGTAGGTTACAGTGTGGGTAACCACGAGGTCACAACGCGCTGTCGAGGTTACCCACAGGTATCCTATACTGAATCCTTTGGGTTACCCACAGCGAGGTAACCTAGAGGAAACCTTGGGGTAGGTTTTTGAGAGCCCAATTTTTGGGATGAGTCGCCGCCAGTAGGCGGAGTTTGCGCAGCAGCGCACGGAAACGAGGAGAGGAGAGAAGCGACGACGACGAAGATAGTAGCTGCTACGGCAAGCACAGCGTGCTTAAAGTTTAGGTCGTGACTGGCGATGCGCGGACCCACGATTGGTCGTTGCTCAGGGATGCCGGGGTAGATTGAGCGGTCTGATCGATTTGGAATCAGTAGGCTATTAGAGAAGCAGATCACTCCCGTGCTATGGTAAGGTTATACTGCAAAATATCTGCTATGGGTTGAGTCACCCCAGCCGTTAATTCTCCGTCATTTATACTGCATAATATCCGCCACCATACCGCTTGACTGTGAGCGGACTTATTGGCCGGGTCACGGGCGCTACGTGGGAAAGCGGGGAAGCCCTGTCTCGCTAGAGCCATAGTTCTGGTTTGACTTAGCTTATGCGCGCAAATAGCGGCTCGCCAGCATAAGAAAACACATTCGTGGAGCGAGTTTGCGAACGCGCAAAACCGCAATTGATTGGCTGCTACGCGCAAGTGCTGGCTAGCAAACGTTCGATTGCGAACGCGCAAAACAGCAGATGATAGGCCACTGATTCTACCTTCGCTGTGTGAACAAACTTGTAAAACGATCTCCCAAGTCCGAGGGCGTATTCAAAAGAAAAACAAGAACACCTAAACGACAATTGCCCCACCCCAAGCACTTGCGTGTAGAATACAATTTCCAAGAACTTGCCGAACTCTCACTCTTTTCGTTTTTTTTTTTTTTTCGTTCGGAATGTGTGAGAAAATTGTGCGAACCTCTGGTGAGTGAAATCTGTGTCTTCCTAAGGAATGAGTAAAACTTCGTTAGAAGGTTCGGAAATGATTTGCTGGTGAGGATATTTCGTTGCGAGTTCTGTAGACCCAGATCCCAAACCGATGTCGTGCCTGCAGAGAACAAGGCCGAAAGAACCTCCATCGATGCTTCCCTAATTTCTCCACCACAGATTTCAAACTGGTCTGACTGACCTAGCTTCCCGAGTCGCGACCAATCCATATTCGTAAACCCTGGCAGATCACGTCGCCTCGCCACGAGAATCGTCGGCGTCGTCGGATTAGGAATCGGCTTGGGTGCAACAGGCAGAAGACTTCGAATAGACGAGGGAGTAGGGGACATCTAGAGCGCCTTGAAAGGCGACAAGGGAGAGAAGGGGGGAAGGAGCCATGGCGCAGATGGTTCCGCTTGATAACTCCCTCATAGATCTCGCCTCCCTCAGGTAATGCTTCCTTAGCCTCCCTCAGGTATGGCCTCCCTCAGGTATGGCCTCCCTCAGGTAATGCCTCCCTCAGGTACTGCCTCCCTCAGGTACTGCCTCCCTCAGGTACTGCCTCCCTGATGTGCTGCCTCACACTGCCCCCACCTCAGGTAAAACTGCGCGAACAGCTGCATCAGTTAAGGTGCTGTCCGCCCCCTCCGCAGGTACCTCCTCCAACAAGGTACTATCCGCCCTCAGTTATTGCCGCCTGTCTGTCTGTGCCCTTTCCTCCAGCACCCCCCCCCCCCCCCCCCCCCCCCCCCCCCCCCCCCCCCCCTCCCCCCCCCCCACACGCCCTTCCCATACCACACTCGCAGGAGACTCCCCTCTGCACCGAGGTGACTTTTGAGTCGACTCAAATGTCACTCTGTCTGTGCAGTTCCCCGCACGCACACGCCCTTCCCATACCACACTCGCAGACTCCTCTCTGCACCCCTCCCATACCGCTCCCTCTCTGCCCCTCCCATACCCCTCCCTCTGCACCCCTCTCATATTCTTCCCTCTCTGCCCCTCCCATACCCCTCCCGCCATGCTTCTGTCTGTGTGACCACCCTTCTCCCTTATGCGTCCTCCCCAATCCCCCAACCCCCCACCCCCACCCCACCCTTCCCCACCCTCCCTCACCCTTCCCCACCCTTCCCCACCCTCCCTCACCCTTCCCCACCCTTCCCCACCCTCCCTCACCCTTCCCCACCCTTCCCCACCCTCCCCCTCGTGTGCCTCCTGCGAGCAGAGCACATGCCAGTCAACGCCTCGTTGACGCCCTTGACTCTGTGAGTTGACCTGCGTTGACTGGTCTGACTCCTTGCTGATCAACATTCTTCATTCCTACCATCTCCAGTTGTCCCATCTTTTAGTTAGCCTTTCCTACCCTTCCTCAAATCTGGCTCTAGCTCAATTTAATTCTGTTCATCTGTGTCTAGTATCATTACCCATCCCATCCCATCCCATCCCATCCCATCTCATCCCATCCCATCCCATCCCATCCCACCAGGTGCCAGGCGGCAAGGCTCTAGTGCTGGACGCGTCAATCAGCGGCCCGCTCGCCTTCATTGCTCCCATTGCCCTCCTCAAGGTGAGCTGCGTAAGCCCAGTCATTTCAGCTTTGCCTCTCTCTCTCTTCCCAGACCATTCCCCCACCCCACTTTCCTACTCCGTTCCCTCACTCCACTTCCCCACTCTGTTGTGCTACTTCATTTCCCCACTCTTCCCCCAATCTATTCGCTCATTCCACACGTCTTCCCACTCTCCTCCTCCCTGCTGCACTTCTTCCCCTCGTTACAGGAACACGGAGTCGAAAACCTCTTCCACATCAGCGCCGAGCCCATCCAATCACAGTGCTCCACGATCCTCTACCTGCTGCGCCCCAATCCGCTTCTCATTCGCTGGATCACACGCCAGGTACAATAACCTCTTGGTATCCTACTGCATTCTATTAGTACCGCTTGGTACCGTCCTCTATCTCCTGCGCCCCAACCCGTTTCTCATTCGCTGGATCACACGGCAGGTACGAGGTACTACCACTTGGTATGTTACCACATTCAATTGGTACCTATTGCTACCGCACTCTACCCTCCCCTTCCACCCTTGCACCCTTTTCTCCCATCCTCCCGTCCTATCTCCTCCCTTCCAATGCCACGCTCCGACAGGTGTGTGCAGACGAGGGCCTGCTCACTGTGCGTGTGTAGGCCCTTCAACCTTCTATATTGGTGTGGCTTTTGAGAATTCTCAAAAGTCACGGTGCTTGTGTAGGCCCTTCAACCTTCTTCTTCCCGTTCTACATCTGTGCTCCTCCCCTCTCCATGCCGTCAACCCCACCAGGTGCGGGCAGACGAGGACGAGGGCGTCACCGGCAGCTACTCACTCCACTCGCTCCTCCTGTCTCCCCTTCTCTCTATCTGTCTGTCTCCCATCCTCTTGTCCTGTCTCCTCCCCTTCCTACCAGGTGCGGGCAGATGAGGACGAGGGCGTCACCCGCAGCTACTCACTCCAGTCACTCTTTTTGTCTCCCCTTCTTGCTCCTTCTCTCCCATCCTCCCGTCCTGTCTTCCTCCTCTTCCCATGTCATCAACCACATCAGGTGCGGGCAGACGAGGACGAGGGCGTCACCCGCAGCTACTCACTTCACTTTATTCCCAGATGCGATGCGATCTGCAACAGGGTACGGACCAGAACTGAACAGAGTGTGTGTGTTTGCGGGGGAAGGGGAGGGATTGGGGTTTGTGCTTACGAATGTGTGTGTGTGTGTGCGCGCGCGCGCGCGTGCGTGTGTGTGTCTTTCTGCGTGTATGTCTGCATGTGTGTGCGTGTGTGTGTGTGTGTGTGAGTGTGTGTGTGTGTGTGTGTGTGTGTGTATGTGAGCGCATGTGTGCGTGCATGAGTGCATACGTGCACATGTGTGGGTGTGTTGGTGTGCCTGTAACATTTTTGTCAGCTGTGCTTGCACACTTCGCCCAGCTGAAGCAACAAGAGACAAGTAAACGCCCTTATCTGTACATGCGTGCCTGCTTCCGAGGCTCCTCAGTAGTCGTATTTTCACGCGCTGCCTCAAGAGTGTGTCTTTTCTGACCTACGTCTTCTCTTTTCACACCACACATCTCCATTTTGATGCGCTTCAAGATTGTTGCCCCCCACACCACACATGTGCTGCAGATTCTGGAGCAGGAGGGACTAGTGGGCGACCCGCGGGTGGCAGTGGGCGAGTATCCCCTCGAGATGATCCCCGTGGACCATGACCTCCTCGCACTCGACCTCCATACCATCTATAAGGTGATTCCTGTACCCGCTATAAGGTGATTCCTGTACCCGTTATAAGGAGATTCTGGAGCAGGAGGGGCTGGTGGGCGACCCGCGGGTGGCAGTGGGCGAGTATCCCCTCGAGATCATCCCCGTGGATCATGACCTGCTGGCCCTCGACCTCCATACCCTCTATAAGGTGATTCCCGTACCCTCTATAAGGTGATTCCTGTAACCTTTATAAGGTGATTCCTGTACCCGTTATAAGGTGATCCTGTACCCGTTATTAGGTGATTCTGGAGCAGGAGGGGCTGGTGGGCGACCCGCGGGTGGCAGTGGGCGAGTATCCCCTCGAGATGATCCCCTTGGACCATGACCTCCTGGCCCTCGACCTCCATACCCTCTATAAGGTGATTCCTGTACCCGTTATAAGGTGATTCCTTTACCCCTTATGAGGTTATTCCTGTGCTCGTTATAAGGTGAGGTTATTTCGAACTGCATCAATCCTAACCAGGACGTACACGTTGATTCAGACCCCTCACCGCTGCTTTACTCTTCTCTCACATTTCCATCGCCCTCCCTCCCCCCCTCCTCTCTTCATCCACCCACCCCCTGCCCAGCCGATCCAATTCAGGACGTGCACGTGAATCCAGCCCCCTCCTCTCCTCTACCTTTCTCTCACCTTTCCATACTTCTCGCCATCCCTCCTCTCCCCTCATCCCCCGCCCCCGTGCCACTCCATTCCTGCTTTGAACTGCACCAATCCAATCCAGGGGTGCATGTGGATTCACCACCCCACCACTGCTTTACCTTACTCTCACCTTTCCATTTTCATCCCCCTGTCCCCCCCTCCCCTCCCCTGGCTGATCCAATCCAGGATGTACACGTGGACTCAGACCCCACCTCCACGTTGCAAGTGGCCCGAGTGCTGGCAAATTTCCAGGTAATTTTCAGATGACGATCTCAGCCGTTGAAGGTGACGATCTCAGCCATTGATGTTGATAATCCCAGCGATGCCAGCTCATTGTGGCTGTGGGAACTCCTGTATTCATGGCCGGGATGCCAAATGATGTGCTACCATTCCCGATGCCTCTCGCATGATTCCTGTGCTTCTCTTGATTGATCACTGCTTTTCATCCTCTCGATTTTAAGTAATTTTCCTCGCCCTGTCTCCCACGGCCTACAGTCAGTGTTTGGAGTGCCACCGGTGCTGAAGGGCAAGGGCGTGGCAGCACAGCGAGTGGCGCAGGCCATGAGGGCACAGAAGTCAGATGTTTACTCCTTGCTGTTCCCTGCGTGCGTGTGTCTCACCCGCTCGCCACCCCTTACAGTCCGTGTTTGGCGTGCCACCAGTGCTGAAGGGCAAGGGCGTGGCAGCGCAGCGAGTGGCGCAGGCCATGAGGGCACATAAATCAGATGTTTACTCCTTGCTGTTCCCTGCGTGCGTGTGTCTCACCCGCTCGCCACCCCCTACAGTCCGTGTTTGGAGTGCCCCCGGTGTTGAAGGGCAAGGGAGTGGCAGCACAGCGAGTGGCACAGGCCATGAGTCAACTCATGAAAGAACAGAAGTCCCACGTGGCACCGGTAGGCCTGCTGCCCTATGATTGTCGCCTCATGCTCTGCAGTCTGTGTTTGGCGTGCCACCGGTGCTGAAGGGCAAGGGAGTGGCAGCACAGCGAGTGGCACAGGCCATGGGTCAACTCATGAAGGAGCAGAAGTCACACATGGCACTGGTAGGAGCGATAGGAGCAGAAATCTCACGTGCTGCTGATAGGCCAGTTCATTCTTTAGACGTATTGAAAAGCAGGCCAAGAGTCAACCAATGAAGGAGCAGAAGTCTCACATGAGCCGCCGAACAACTTACTGGAGTGTGGAATGTCTTGTTGTTCGGTGGAACGATGTGGTGTGGTGTGGTGTGGTGTGGTGTGGTGTGGTGTGGTGCGGTGGGGTGCGGTGTGGTGGGGTGCGGTGTTGAACGGTGTGGAGCGGTGGTTGCAGGTGGAGCATCCAAGCGTGGACATGATGGTGCTGATAGACAGACAGGTGGACATGGTGACGCCAGCATGCACTCAACTCACATACGAAGGGCTTCTCGATGAGGTCAGCATGCCTTCACAGATGACGTCAGCATGTTTTGTTAAATGGCATCAGCATGTTCTGATGTCCATCCCCCTCTCTGCCTTCTAGTCATCGCTCCCCGTTCCCCCCCCACCTCTCCCCCACCTAGCTCCTGCACTGCACGTAGCAAACGGGGCAGTGGAGGTGGATCCAGCAGTCATGGGGAATCGCCTTGTCATGGGGAGAAGTTAACACGCCTCTTCTGCGATTTACTTCTCAATCTCGGTGTCCCATCGATTCATCTCACATCTCTCCTCTCCCCCTCCTTGCACGCAGCTCCTGCACGTAGCCAACGGAGCAGTGGAGGTGGATCCGGCAGTGATGGGGGTGACGTCTAACGCCAGGAAGATTAAAGTGCCTCTCAACTCCAAGTGAGACAGGGAGTGAGGGGCTATGGACTGAAAGTGTGAGATTGTGGAATAGACGAGATGAGTATTTGGGTAATCCCCTAACGCTGGAGGGCTGTCTGATTTTGGGATAGAATAGCGAGAAGGCGTGACTCGTGAGGGTAAGAAAAGCATGTTATATGCCTGTATTGATGCTCCATGCTGAGGAAATCATGGAGATAATGGTGAAAAGAGAATGGAAATTCCTTGCGCCTTTGCTTTGTGTGCTTCAGTCCTTCTCTGCTCCTTCTGTGAGTCAGCTCTACTGTTCTTGAGCAAGTTGTGAAAGCTTAAATCCTTCATATTATATTGCCCTCCTCGCCCTCCTCACCTCACCCGTCTCTTTGCAGTGACAAGCTGTTTCAGGACCTTAGAGGCCGCAACTTTGGATCAGCAGCAGAGGTGAGGTGCTTCACATTGTATCACATCGCATAGCACCACATCACATCACATTACATCACATCACATCACATCACATCACATCACATCACATCACATCACATCACATCACATCACATCACATCACATCACATCACATCACATCACATCACATCACATCACACCACACCACATCACACCACACCACACCACACCACACCACACCACATCACACCACACCACACCGCACCGCACCGCACCGCACCGCACCGCACCGCATCGCGTCGCGTCGCGTCACATCACATCACATCACATCACATCACACCACATCACACCACACCACATCACACCACATCACGTCACATCACATCACATCATTCGAAGAGAACAAGTGTTCCTTCGCATTCCCCTGTTCCCCCTTTCTTGCCCTTTTCGTTCAGCTGCTGCGAGCCAAGGCAGTGGAGATGAAGTCAGAGTATGCCAACCTCAGGCAGCGACCTCTTTTAGGCGCCTGAACCTCAAAGATACAACCACTTAGCGTCCGTCTGCTCCCTGTTCCTTCCTTCCCCTCAGCTGCTGCGAGCCAAGGCAGTGGAGATGAAGTCAGAGTATGCCAACCTCAGGCAGCGGCCGCAGAGAGATGCATCGCCTCTGCGCTCCGCTGCTGCACCGGGTGACCAGGGAGCTGCCTCCGCTGCTGGCTCTGGTGGTGGAGAGCAGGTGAGGATGATCTTCTACACCTGTTGCCCCTGTTGCATCTGTTGCCCCTGTTGCATCTGTTGCAGTCAGACAGTGTTCTCCTCTTTTCCTGAGCCGAAGGATTTTGTCAAGAAACACTGTTCTCCTCTGTTCCTCGTTCCCTACTTATGTCTCACCACATGTTGCACTTGCTACATCTGTTGCTCGCAGACGGTATCAGAGCTCAAGGACTTTGTCAAGAAACTCAACGTGCTGCCAGAGCTTACGGTGAGATGATGCTGCATCTGTTGCTCGCAGACGGTATACTTATATCTCACCACATGTCTCACCACATGTCTCACCACATGTCTCACCTGCTGCATCTGTCTCAAGGACTTTGTCACGAAACTCAACGTTCTGCCAGAGCTTACAATGAGATGATTCGTCATTCCTTGAAGCATTTGCTTTTCCAGAGTAGAAGATTTATTGTTCGCAACACTGTGTGCGAGGTTCTGTCCACACCACCTTCCAGTATGTATGCAGAGTCTATTGCAGTAAGATGATTCGCCATTTTTAGGCGCATTAAAAATCACCTCAAAGTCTTTTACAGTGAGATGAATCGTCATTCCTTGAAGCCTTTGCTTACTTTTACTCTGCGGACCTGATCCTATCACTTTCTTCCTTCCTCTATACTGGTGTGACTTTTGAGAATTCTCAAAAGTCGCACTTTTACTCTGCGGAACTGATCATATCAATTTCTTCCTTCCTCTGCTTTACCTTTTTTCCCCTTCCCTGTCTCCTTCTTCCCATCTCCCATCTCCCCCTACCTCCCCCTTCCCCCCACGTAGCGCCACACCAACCTAGCGCAGCACATATTGCAGGTCACCAACCGGCCGGCCTTTGGCGCTCTCATCTCGGGGAAGTAGAACCGAGTTTTGAGTCGACTCAGAACTCGACTCATTACACACTCTCATCTCGGGGAAGTAGAATTGCGAATGAACACTTGCCTTTTCCCCTGCCCAAACAACCCACTTTCCCCTTTTCTCCTCTCCTTCTCCCCGCTTTCCCTCTTTGTAACACCCATCGCTTCCCATCCCCCACCAGCGCCACACCAACCTAGCAGGGCACATATCACAGGTCACCAACCGGCCGGCCTTTGGCGCTCTCATCTCCACAGAGCAAACCATCCTGGAAGCACGGTCTATAGACTCGTACGTCGCGAATGAGTGTCTTGGTATGTCTTGCTTCCCTATGTGTCATATGGTACTTGACGTGAGTGCCGTGCTGCTGTCCCTCCGTCCCATGTTAACTCTGATCTGATCTGTGCGGATTTATGCCCGAATGTGTCTGTGACTGCAGGGCGTGTGAGTACATAGAGGACGCCATGTCACAGGGGCATCCCATGAGCACAGTGTTACGCCTCCTCTCCCTTGTCTCCCTCACCAATGGCGGCATTCCCAAGGCACGCTTCGACCACCTCAGGTACACCGTGTGTGAAAGCTGAGCTTTTGTGCTACTTTTTAGAACCTCTCTTATGTCTTGCTGCTTCCACTCACACCGCAACGCCCCATTGCATCCCATCCCATCCCATCCCATCCCATCCCATCCCATCCCATCCCATCCCATCCCATCCCATCCCATCCCATCCCATCGCATCCCATCCCATCCCATCCCATCCCATCCCATCGCATCGCATCGCATCCCATCCCCTCCCATCCCATCCCATCGCATCCCATCCCATCCCATCCCATCCCATCGCATCCCATCCCATCCCATCCCATCCCATCCCATCCCATCCCATCCCATCCCATCCCATCCCATCCCATCCCATCCCATCCCATCGCATCCCATCCCATCCCATCCCATCCCATCCCATCCCATCCCATCCCATCCCATCCCATCCCATCCCATCCCATCCCATCCCATCCCATCCATCCCATCCCATCCCATCCCATCGCATCCCATCCCATCCCATCCCATCCCATCCCATCGCATCGCATCGCATCCCATCCCCTCCCATCCCATCCCATCGCATCCCATCCCATCCCATCCCATCCCATCGCATCCCATCCCATCCCATCCCATCCCATCCCATCCCATCGCATCCCATCCCATCCCATCCCATCCCATCCCATCCCATCCCATCCCATCCCATCCCATCCCATCCCATCCCATCCCATCCCATCCCATCCCATCCCATCCCATCCCCTCCCCTCCCCTCCCATCCCATCACACCTAATCAGGCGGGAGTTCCTTCAAGCATACGGTTTCCTTCACGTATTTTCTCTTGACAATTTTGAGCGCGCGGGCTTGATCAAACGCCAGGTGGGTACCAGGCAGGTGGGTACCAGGCAGGTGGGTACCAGGCAGGTGGGGTTTTGAATTACTGAAGCATAAATAACCTCATGGTGCTCTTCTCTCGTGGAATTTTGAAGCGTCTTGAAACTCACGCCGACATGACATGCTGTGTGCTACAAGGACCCCATGTTGTGCGCACGGGAGGTTGGCTTTTGAGTCGATTCAAAAGTCAACTCAGAAGTCAGCCCTGTTTCGCTTGTTGTGCTGTGCGTGCAGGAGGGGCGCAGCACGTGGGCTGCAGTGAAGCGAAGCCTGAGGCTGATAATGGATGACTGTTGAGCGTCCCCCCTTTCGCTTCCCTTATCCTGCTGCTGCAGGAGGGTCGCAGCACGTGGGCGGCAGTGAAGCGAAGCCTGAGGCTCATAGTCGATGACGATGATGATGCCAAGTGAGAGAGAGCGGTGGTGAGGGGTGGTGTGGGGTGGTGTGGGGTGGTGTTGGGTGGTGTGGGCTGGTTCTGTGTGGTGATGGTGATGGTGATGGTGATGGTGATGGTGATGGTGATGATAATAAGGGAGCAAGGGTGATAACAAAGTCTATTCAAGTCCACAGGGTTCACAACTGCACATCTTCCCCTCTCCTCTTCCTTCTCTTAGTTCCTCACCCTCGCCCTCTCAATCTCTCGCTCCTTGTTTCTACCTCACTAACTCTTCTTCCTCACCCGCCCTCTCCTGTGCCTTCCATCCAGCCCCAGGGACATTGCATTCATATTCTCCGGCTATGCCGCTGCCTTTTGTGTCACCTCGAAGTCAGCTAGTTTCAAATTAACATCCCTGCACATCCCTGCACATCCCTGCACATCCCTCCACATCCCTGCACATCCCTGCACATCCCTCCACATCCCTGCACATCCCTCCACATCCCTGCACATCCCTCCACATCCCTGCACATCCCTCCACATCCCTGCACATCCCTCCACATCCCTGCACATCCCTCCACATCCCTCTCTTCTCCCATGCCTCCCAACCAGTCCCAGGGACATTGCGTTCACGTTCTCCGGCTATGCCCCTCTAAGTGTGCGGCTCCTGCAACAGGCCATCCAACCAGGAGGCTGGTGAGTCACCGTACAGCCTCGTGGCTCCTCTCTCCACCTTGCTCCACCTCGCGCCACCTCTCTCCACCTCATTTACCCTCACTCTCTTACATATGCCCCTCTAAGTGTGCGCCTCCTGCAACAGGCCATCCAACCAGGAGGCTGGTGAGTCACCATACAGTCCTCGTTGATACAGTGAGGCTGGTACAGTCCTCATTGATTTTATCATTTCGTATTTCCTCTTGAGTCGACTCAAAAGTCACCCCATCCAACCTGGAGGCTGGTGAGTCACCCTACAGTCCTCATTGACTTTTGATTCTATCATTTCGTATTTTCTCCTTCATTGATTCTACCATCTTCTCTTTAGTCCCAGATTTGTTTTAATTCTTGCCTCTCCCCCGTAATGGTTTTTGTGCATTCCAGGAGAGTGATGGACGAAGTGACAAAGACTGCCACAGGACCAACTTTTGAGTGGGAGCAGGTAATTCTACATTAGGACTCATAATTCAAACAATGATTAGGATATGTCATTCCATGCAATGGCGAGAAACCAAGTGAAAACCATGAGGTTGCAGTGAGAGATTATGCATAAGTTTAGTTTTGAGGCGCCTCAAGACTAAACCATCAGGTTGCAGTGAGAGTTCTGCATAAGTTTAGTTTTGAGGCGCCTCAAAACTAAACCATGAGGTTGCAGTGACAGTTTCTGCATAAGTGGCTTGCTTTTACTGTTGCTCTTGTGCCCTCGTATAGTGGTTTTCTCGACATTCCTTCCTCGTCTGCTGCTCCTCCTCTCTCCCACCACCCACCTTCAGTCTCCTGATGGCACCACCCATCGGGACATCACCAACCGGACCCCATCCTCCGAGTCCGAGCCTCCCCTCGTGGCCGCTGTGTTCCTGAGCCTTCTCAACAATACACAATACACGTTGCACAAGCCTGTCCTTTATTTTCCTCTCTCTCACCACCCACCTTCAGTCCCCTGACGGCACCACCCATCGGGACGTCACCAACCGAACCCCATCCTTCGAGTCCGTGCCTCCCCTCGTGGCGGCTGTGTTCCTGAGCCTTCTCAACGATACACAATACACGTTGCACAAGCCTGTCCTTTCTTTTCCTCTCTCTCACCACCCACCACCAGTCCCCTGACGGCACCACCCATCGGGACGTCACCAACCGGGCCCCTTCCGCCATGCGAAGGGGACCTTCAGATCCCTTCCGCGCCTGGTAGCAGCTGTGTTCCTGGGTCCTCTCACTGACACATAATACACAACCCTCTTCCCCACAACCCACCACCAGTCCCCTGACGGCACCACCCATCGGGACGTCACCAACCGGACCCCTTCCGCCATGCGCAGAGGGCCATCTGAGTCGGTGCCTCGCCTCGTGGCTGCTGTGTTCCTGGGGGGCGTCACCTTCGCTGAGATCGCTGCTCTGCGGTTTCTCTCCATGCAGGTGTGTGTGCACGTGTGTGTGCGTAAGCCTAAGATATGGGGGGGGGGGGGGGGGGTGGGACATCAGAGTCCGTGCCTCGTCTGGTGGCTGCTGTGTTCCTGGGGGGCGTCACCTTCGCTGAGATCGCTGCTCTGCGCTTCCTCTCCATGCAGGTGGGTATGTGTGTGAGTGTGTTCCCCGCCTCATTGTTTCCTTTTGAGAATTCTCAAAAGCGACACAGGCTGTGTTCCTGGGGGGCGTCACCTTCGCTGAGATCGCTGCTCTGCGGTTCCTCTCCATGCAGGTGCGTGTATGGGTGAGTGTGAGCTGGTGTGTGTGTCTGTGTGCAGGTGGGTGTATGGGTGTGCGTGTGCGTGTACGTGTGCTCGTGCGGTATCTGTTGCCAGCCTCGTCGCTGCTGTGTTCCTGGGGGGCGTCACCTTTGCTGAGATTGCTGCTCTGCGCTTCCTCTCCATGCAGGTGTGTGCCTGCGTGTGTGTCTGCGTGTGTGTGTGTGTTGAGCTAGCAAGGCCCCTTGAGTCCTCAGGAAGCTCAAGATATGGCTGGGGGCTATCGGAAGTTGTACCTCGCCTTGTGGCTGCTGTCTTCCTGGGGGGCGTCACCTTCGCTGAGATCGCTGCTCTACGCTTCCTCTCCATGCAGGTGCGTGCCTGTATGCATGGATGTGTTTGTGCGGGCGTACTAGCATGTGTGTGTGCATGTGTGCACCTTGAGTTCTGAATATTCCCCAGACACACTTAGCTGGTTGGGCGGCTCTGCTGCTACCTTTACATAGGCTGATGCTTCTCCGTACTTCCGCATTTCCTGCTAGATGAGTCTCTGGAAGCAGTCGTTTTTCAATCGAGTAATCTGTTGCCGTGCGAGCGAGGTTCACTCTCTTGTGGATTTTTCCGTGTTTTGTTTCGCTGGCGCTCTCTCCCTACAGGTGCAGGCTGGAGGAATGCTATAAATGTTTGTAATACCCCTGGGTTCCCACTCCCATGCTCCGTACTTGCCTGATCTTCACCTCTCCCTCTTGCGTGTACGCTGTTTCCGGTGCTGAGCAGGATTTGGCAATCACGTCCTTCCTCATCATCACAACCAACATCGTGCAGGTTGGGGGAGTGCAGTACCTGGGATCCCACTCCTATACTCCGTACTTGCCTGATCCTCACATCTCCCATCCTGTGCAATGATTGTGTGTGTGTCACTATCCCCGGTGCTGAGCAGGATTCGGCAATCACGTCCTTCCTCATCATCACAACCAACATCGTCTCTGGCAATTCCCTCTTACAGCCGTTGATTGAGACCGTCTGATCTGACATTTCTACAGAACATGATGGTAGGGAGTCTACTGAGCTTTAGTGTACGAAAATGGTGGTAATCTGGAAGTGGCCATCAGTCTGATGAGATGCATGTGAAGCAGCATTGCCGGCAGCGTGTTTTACGTTTACCATCGGTTATTTCTCCACAAAAGCCGTTGCTTTATAATAGCATAGTGCATCCATAAATGGCGCCAAAGGTGTCGCCTGGATAGAAGACCGTGTCGAATTGAACACATTGTTGTCTTCTATTGGTGCATATTTGTATACACCGGAGTCTTTTTTGTCAAGAACATAATGAATGATATATGGGGGCACGCAGATGTGGTGGTGACGAGTGAGTGAACCTCCACAAGATCGCTCCTGCACCATGGCTGAAGCAGTAGCCCTAGGAGTACCTGAGAGTCGCGATGTCGTCTGCCAACGACGCGTCATTGTGTCCCGTGAGTGCAACTGACTGTCGTCCTCCTAGCACAAACCCCATGCCACCTGTACTAACCAAATACCGCAATACCCTCTAAGCAGCCGACCAGTGCTCAGATTGGTGTCTCCCAGTCGCAACAAAGAGAGCAAGGATGCTGAGAGGATATGCGAAATCTGGTCGAGTGCGGGTCATTAGGTACATGAGGCACGCATGCCTCTGGATAGGATTTGAGGCACTCCATCAGCTCTGCGGACTGAACACTGGGCTCAACGGGCTCTTCAAGGACAGGGGCCAATAACGTATCGCCAACAGGCAGAGGAGTGGGATGTGCAGAGGAGAAAGGCCGGAGCACTAAAGGATCTGCTGCACCATGTGTGACTGAGTGAGAGCGATGGTGCGAGTGTAAAAAGAGACAAACTCGTCAAATGTGACGCCACGCGAGCTGAAAAAACGTGAGAGGAAGGGTGGTAGAACAAACAATCAAGAGTGTGAAGGGGGGAACCCTGGAACACACAGAAGACAGTGCAGGCCGAGAGCTTGTTCGTGCAAGGATCGCAGACGTGAGCAAGTCAACCCTAGACGCAAAACGTAGACGCATGACTAGGTGACCTCCGTCCAGAGGAGGGTTAGCGGAACCTGCGGGCGTGAGACATGGGGTCACAGGTTAAGCTAGTGCGCGGCGTAGCAGAATGCAAAGGGCCACAGAAATGGGGGGGCACTGGCATGAATCATGGAGGTACGAGCGATCTACATGAATCAAGACTCAGCGACCCTATTCTGTTGCGGCGAGTCCGGATGCGAGAACGGCTGGCGGATTCCCTACGCGCTACAAAACTGCTCAATCCGACCGGAGGTGAACTCGCCACCCTAGTCAGAGCGCAGAGGAAGCACAGGCTGGGAGCGCTGGGTGCGGACGGCCACTAGCCACGGGAGGAGACGTCGGCCTTCCGATGTAAGGGAAACAACATGGCGTAGCGGGAAAAGGCATCCACAACTACAAAACAGATAGCGCTCCTCACACTGTCCAGCGAAAGGGGCAGGGCAGGGCGAAATAATAACAATGCATTACATTGAAATATATTGTCCTAGCTAGCCATGTACGCTGAGGATTACATTCCCATATTCAACTGTATTACAGATAAAAGTACAGTAACGGTGACTATTTTGATGCCTGACGGTTACCATGTTGCAGTGCGAAACCTCCGAGGCATGTTATATGAGTGCAACACGATAATGGGAGAGCGCATTCTTTATGAGGTAATGCGCTACGGCCGTACCTTAGGAACGTTGAATAATATGTCGGTTATTCCAACAAACATGAACACACAAACAATCAAGCGACCAAACGAGCACGCGTATGCGACTTATAGTCCTAGAAAATATAAGGATGAATCGGGATTGTTCAAAAGGCTCGAAAAGAGGAGGTTCGTGTTGCAATCAGAAAGTTGATCGAGCCTAGGATCACGTCAGAAAGGTTCGTAGAGATTGTGTTGCAGCGGAACTATTGACCTCAGGCCAGAGTTAAATTTAAAATGACTGAGATAATTGAAACAAAGCCATACATAGGTTTATATAATAGTAGAAAGGAATACGAAACGACCTAGACTAGCCATGTACTCTAAGGGGTGCATTCCCTTATTGCAGCAAAATATAACCGTGCGACTCCAGACGGTTACGAACCTGTTCCCGCCACAATCCTTGCTGCAGCAGCTGCCCGATGCATCTGCTCCGATGGTCCAGATGCTGCTAACCGTACGCGACTCTTTGCGTCATTCCGACCTTCCGCATTCGTACTCGTCTTTGCAATCCTCGCTTGCTACTGATAGGAGTGCATAGTGTTTCTCATTTCACTATCCGTAACACCCCCCACCCCCTTTCACTCCTGGCCGTAGCAAGTTTTGACTCGCTTGACCACTCCGCTGAGTTCGGAACAGTGCAGGAACTGCTGACGGGGCAGTCGCTTCGTGAGGAAGTCGGCTACCATGTCACCCGTTGGGCAGTAGGTCAAATCGACCTTACCTTTGTCAACTTCGTCCTTGACGAAGAAGTACCACAGTGCGATTTGTTTGGTGCGGTTGACGAATCCCGACTTGTTCGCGATTCTGATCGCGCTCTGGTTATCGCAGTGCAGGCGAAAGGTTGGCGAAGTTGGAATTTTCGCCTCCTGTAGGAGCTCCTGCAAGTAAAGTCCCTCGCGAACTGCTACTGTCGCGGCGATTAATTATGCTTCCGCCGATGACAGGGCAACCAGCTCTTGCTTTTGCGAGTTCCAGGAGATGGGTCCTGTTGGTTTGAGGCGGAACAGGAACCCGGTTCTGGATCGTCGATTGTCGGGGTCTGCAGCATGATCGGCGTCCACGTAGCCGACCAGATTGAAAGAGAGAGTCGCGACTGTGGAGTAGCAGAGCCCAATGTTGGGCGTGGAGATGAAGAATTGCAGTGCGCGCTGAAGATCTAGAAGGTTTTCAGCCGTTGGTTTGCGTGAACACTGAGCTAGCTGGCTCGCGATGTAGGAGAGATCTGGCCTGCAGGTCACTGAGGCAAACAGCATGCATCCCAGCTGCTGCTGGTAAGTGTGAAGGCCTACACGGGATAGGGCTTCGTTGTCGGGTTTGTGGTTCGGTCCGGGCGTGCGGTAAGGGGTGGAGAGTGGTGCAGGGGAGATGTTGAACCACTTCTCGAGTGTTCCAGCGTACTTAGCAGCTCAGAGGTGAATGGCCTCTGGCGCGTAGGTGATATTAAGGCCCAGGAACTGCTTCACCTCGTGATTAGTGGTGATGTCGATACGCATCGCCATGTTCTTCTCGAACTGGTCGAGCAGCGTGTTGCTCATCCCTGTGTAGAGCAAGTCGTCGACATACACGGTGAGCAGGATGTAATCGCCGCAAAAATGTAGGCGATACATGTCTGGATCGTGCGGCAGCTGCGTGAATCCTATTTCAAGTAGGATTTTGTGCACGTGCTGCTGCCAGAGCCGTGGTGCTCGTTTAATCCCGTAAAGGGACTTCTTCAGCTGACACACACGCGGGTCCCCTTCGCCGTAGGTGTGCGGCTGCTCCATGAAAATCACTGTATCCACTAATGCGTATAGGAACGCATTCTTCACATCGATTGGGCGGAGAGGTAAGTGCCTTGCTGCAGCGATGGCGAGCAGGATTCTGACGGAGGTGTGATGGCTGACCGAGGCGAAGGTTTGGTCAAAATTGATGACGTGCCTTTGATCGTATCCGCATACCACCCAGCGCGCTTTGAAGCGCTCGATCGTCCCGTCTGCCGCAGTCTTCACGCGGAATACCCACTTCCCCGAAAGCACTCTCCGTCCTTTGATTGCTGCGCGGTCGACGAGCACCCAGGTATCTCGTGACTCAAGTGCCTTGATTTCCGCATCCATGGCGGCACGCCACTCCTTGCTGTGCGGTCCCGTCAGCGCTTGTCGCGGATTCTTCTGCTCGATGACGCGTGGGGCCGTGGAGGTGGCGGTGTGAAGTCCTAGCAGCTGAAGTCCTGAGACGGTGCTGTCGTGGCGATGCTGCGGGACGACCTCCTGCACGTCGTCATCGTCGCTCTCTGCACTGGTGGAGAAGGCGGCGCGGGATCCCTGCTGCTTCCTCCCGGAGGTCCCGGAGGAGAGTTGTCGCTGTCCTCGTCGTCGTCGTCGTCATCGTAATCGCCGTCGATGTCAGGGAATTCACTGATGTTGTCCTGCTCCAGAATGGCAGCGGCTGCTTCGTTTTCGGGGGTAGCATAGCTGTGCCCGTCATTTGCGTATATGCGATTTGCGCCTGCCTGCTCGTCCGCGCGGTACTGAGCGAGATTAAGTCGCTCGTTGAAGATGGCGTCGCGCGCATTTGTAATTTTGTTGCTTAGCAGGTCGAGGATGATCCACGCCTTGTATTCGTAGCTGATGCCCAGATGAATGCCCCAGCGTGCTCGGCTTGTGAACTTGCCAATGGTTGAGGTGGGGGGCCGATACTGCACCATGCACCCCCATACACGGAGCATGGAGGTGTCGCCTTTCTTGCCCGTCCATTTCACATGCGGCGACATGTTCCCTGTGATTGCCGTAATCGAGAGGAGGTTGAGCACGCGCACGGCGTGGTGCATCGCGTACGGCCAGTAGGTGGCGGGGAGCTTCGACTGCTTCAGTAGCGCGCGCACCTTCGTCATGAGGGTGCGGTTGGTGCGTTCGGCGACACCCTGCTGCGGATGCGCGTAGGGGAGGGAGACGTGGTGCGAGATCCCCTTTTGCGCCATGTAGTCCTGCAACTCTTTGCTGCGGAATTATGTTGCGCCGTCAGTCTGCCAGATCTGCAGGTTCTTCCCGGATTGTCGTTGCGCGTGCGCCAGCCATAGGCGGAAGACATCGTACGACCTGCTGCGGAACAGCACGTTCGCGATCCAAACGTAGCGAGTTTCGTCGTTGAGGCCGGAGTGGCCGACGACAAGGAAATCGCGATAAACCTTGTGTAGCTTGGGGTAGCGATTGGTTCCTGGCTCCAGCAGCGGGGACGGCTGATGGGTTAGCGCAGCTTCGGGGCAAACGGTGCAGTTGCGCGGGTTGGTTTTGGTGG